TAAAAAATGAATGTATGTGTGTCTGTCCTTCATGCATTACCACACGGTTTATCCAATTGCCGTGAAACTTCGGAAAGTTGTTTAATATACTCCCGTGAAGGTTTCTGGCATAGTACATTTATCCTACGATAGATGGCACGCGTGCATATGAGCATTTTACAGTGTGTTCAATCAATTTCAAATTGTGAAGACCATTTCCCTCTCCAAAAAATATCTCTATATACGCATTTGTGAACTGTTATTTACGATATTTGTAATAATTTTTGTTTAATTAATCACTTTATTACTACTATTTTTTTTTTTGGTTTTTTTTTGCTAATTAGGTATTTGCTCAACTTTGTTAAAACCTTAACTGTATCTTGAACAACAACCAAAGTTGTAGGAGGAAATTCGCCTATTTTACTGATCTAGGGATCCCCTTTTCCAAATTTTAATATCGACTCAAAATAATTTAAAAAGACTTTATAATCTTTTTTTCAACATACAATATTTTCAAGAACTTACAAAGATAAAATAATGTTTATTCAATATTTAAGATATTTTATGTAAGAAAAAAGTGAAGACTAAGTCTCAATGGTGATCATTGACTAGGAAACCTGATTAATGATAGTTAATGTAATCCTATGAAGTCTTGTAAACTAGAGATATCTTAGTCACCTGATCATCACCCAGGGTCTATTGATTACATGACTATGGCTGATGTCTATTTATCATGAGACAAGCAGATTTATCCTGATCTTCATTCAGTCAAGCTGGTTAAGTTTGAATAGAGAAACAGAGATTTGCAAAAGTATTATGAAAACTAGATATACCTAGCATAGATAGTAATAATAATGTAACAAATTCCAACATATTAAACCCAATTTTTTTACATATTTTTAAGTTATATCTTTAGGAGTATTGTATAAATACAGAAAAAAAGAGAACTATTGCATAGAGCCATGGTTCCCAATTAGTGGTATGAGTACCCCTAGGGGTATGCACGGCAAACTAAAATCGGTCAATTTAAAATTTAAATGCATGAGATGAAGCAATCAAAAAAATAATGGGTGGACCATCAAAAATTCGGCAATTTACAACATGATGTCGAATGCACAAATTTGTTTATTTATAACTAAAAATATTCTTGAAATTTCATCAAAAAATGCATTTGTGACAATACCTAAATGAAATTCTTATGCAAGAAACAAAAATTGTACAATTATCATTATTATCATGTCAACGAAGTGGCAATAAAATATTTACTACCATTTTACTTAGCATACCTCTGCGAGAGTGGATTTTCGGCCATGACAAACATGAAAACTAAACATTGTCACCGACTTCAACTCAAAGATGACTTGAGACTGAAGCTGACCAAAAAGCAACCAGATTTTACAAAGTTGTGCAAAGAAAATCGTGCACATTTGTCACATTAAAATTAAATAACCTTATGTTATTTTCATTATTATTAGAA